GCTGTGAAGACTGCGTGCTGCCTCATGTGTTCGATTGCGAGGATGCCCAGACAGCCAACATGGTAGGCTTAGCATATGCAACTGTTCTTCGGCAGTGACATCAGATGAACTCGATGGCCTGAAAATTAGTTTCGATTTGTTTCCATGGAGATGCTAAGCCTTTGCTTTGTGTTTTCTTTTTGACCCCCGAGGTTTTGGCTCAAACTCCTGTGTCACAGCTGATGTCTAAGATGAAGAGAAGCCTCGTAGTTGATGAGGAGACTTGGGACTCTGTCACGAGAGATCTCGAGAGCCGTGAAGCTGTGAGCTTTTCGACTCCTGAGACACCGGAGCAAAAGCTCAAGGTGAGCCGTGATTCGACTCCTGAGACACCGGAGCAAAATCTCAAGGTGAGCCGTGAAGCTGCGACTTCTTCGACTCCTGAGACGCCGGAGCAAAAGCTCAAGGCGGAACAGAAGAGTGCGAAATTTCGGATGCAGCTGCAAAAAGATCTGATCACTGCAATGCGTGCAAATATTGATCAGCTCCTCGAGGAGCGAAAGGCCCGAGAAGAGCACATCTGGGTCCTAAAGCAAAGGATTCACCAGCTGGAAAACTGTGCAAAGTTTACCAGTGACATGGTCGGAGGGCTGAACGAAGACTTAGGTGAACTGCTCGGCGTCTTGCAAAAGACATCAGCTTCAGAGTGCGAGGAAAGTTGTGTCATGGATGTAGAGGTGCTTGCTGTAGACGTGCCTGCGTCAGATCCAGAAGAGTTCCCCGAGACCCAGGTCATCCCTTTCCAAGGGATGGCCCCTCCGGTGTTGCCTCCTGCGATCGATTGCGGTCAAGATGCCCAGCCGACTGACACTCTGGATACCATCATGATGGCTCGCTGGAACAATTATGCATAAGGTATAACTTTTTTGCACAGAGCTCGTGGGGTGAGAGCGAAAAAGGTGCATCACGTGTGTGTGTGTGTGTGTCGTGTTTTGTTTAGGCGTCTAGGGGTTCGGGCTTTGGGATTGTGCTCTGATGTGTGTGTGTGTGGATTTCAGTGGGAATGCCTAAAACAACATGTGAAAGCATGTGTGCCTGGCTAGTAGGCCTGCTCGAGACCCTAGAAGGCAATATCGTGGGTTTTGGCAGGCAGCGATTTTGCACTTGCGTGTCTGCTGGGGTCGTAGCAACCTAGCTGAGCTGACGGGCTTCCCCGGTGCAAGTACTTGGTATGGGAAGTGGCCAGACCACTTTTTCCGAATTTGAATTTTTTATGGCTCCGAAAACGAACCCCCCAGTCGTTTTGATGACAAACTTGAAAATCGCCTCGTTTTTTCCAAACCCCCTACTGGTTTAGCTCGAACCCTCAGGGGGGTTACCCCCCCCACGGCTGTAGATGAGAACTTCATACCTGTGAGTGTCGCGCTAAAGGGCCGAGCCAGGCCTCCGGCCGGAGCACGCTAACAGCTTGCCCAGGGGCAAGGGCTTCTGGTACCTTGAGCTATCGTGGTCCAGTGTCGACCGCGACCTCTGGCCGCTATAGGCTCATGGGACCGCCGCTATGAGACGGGTAAGGGCAAGGGCCCGAACCCTCGCTACGGAAAGGGTGACGATGGCAACCTCACGCTAGACGCCATCCGCTACGACAACCACCTCTATGACCTGGGCAGGGAGGATGCCGCACTAATGTGTCGCTATGCCCCCCCGCCGTCTGGCACGGCCGCGGGGGACAGGGCTAACGAACTGCTAGCAATGCTCCTTCCGAGCTGCTATACCCAGTTCCGCACGGGGCAGTGCCGCTACTCCCTCGGCCACTGGGACGCTAACGCAGCTATTTTTAGATGTGCTACGACATGCGAAGTGTGTCAGCTACAAGCCTGTAATAGGCGTATGTGGTTTAAAGTAGACGACCACGCTACGCATCACTGCGACGGCTGCAAAGCCTGGTCCCGTGGCAAGGACTGGGGCGGCCGCTAAATGAGGGCCCCGGGGGTCCCGCTACGGCCTCTGGCCTCGCTACTGTACAGGTGCAAGCGGCTACCTTTGCAGCGCCCTCTGCTGCCGACCGCTACCCGTGCAAAACAAGGGCAGCGCTAGTGTCTGGATGCACGCCGCAGTTCATGCTACTCACATGTCGGCAGCCAGACAGAAGGGGAGAGCTAGAGCGAAGAGAGTGTCGAAAGCTAAAGCGGGGGGGGCCGTGGTCGGTGATGCAGCTAGGGCTGTCTGCTACTGCAGTGCCTTTTCAGCGAAAGCTATCGACCGGCACTTCCACACACTCTCACGCTAGATGCTTTCCCCCTATGTGCTAGCAGGAACACCACTTGCTTTAAGTACAAATTGTTTTCCCAAGGTGGCGTAGGCCCGACCGTGCCTGCTACCATGGCAGAGGCTCTGGCAAAGAAGCTAGCCCTCGGAAGCAGCGAGCTTCGGTTCCTGCTAGTGCAACACAAGGTCTCGGATGCTATCCAGGCCGAACTCTTTTCCAACGGTATCGATACCGTCGCTAAGTTCGCAGCCTCCGCTACGGACGAAGCTGACCTCAAGAAGATGCTAAGGGACAGCTTCGGTATCGAACCGTCCACCTCGTTGGCTAGCCGTGCTCAGGCCGCGGGGGTCACCATCGCATGGAGGACCGCTAACTCCCGCACAGAGCGGCAAGCAGAGGCCGAAGCTAACAGTGAGGTCCGGGATTGGGCCAAGCCCATCCCCGCTACGGACTACCTCGCCATGCGCCAGGCTTTCACCGCTAAGTTCGGGGACCTCGAGGACAAGCACACCCCAGCTAAGGAGTACATCGAGAAGAAGCTAGCTGAGCTCGAGTCGGCCGAGAAGGCCTCATGGCTAAGATGACGCTAGGCGAATTCAAGGCCCGCTACGGTGAGCATAGGGCCATTGCTGCGCTAGCCGTCATGGAAGACGAGGCTAGTGGAAAGAAGAGGATGATCCACGACGCTACCCACGGGGTCCGGGTTAACCACCGCATCAAGTGCCGCGACAAGATCCGGGCCCCTGGGGCTAGGGAGAAGAAGCAGCTACTCCGTGAGCACATCGACGCTAACGAGGTGGCCTTCTCCGTGGTCGGGGACATCGCTAAGGCCCACAGGCGCAAGCATGCGGAGGGAGAGCATGGCTACCTGGGTTGTCAGATTGACACCGAAGAAGCTATACCGGGGGACCCCGACAGCCAGACGGTCTACGTGAATCTGGTGGGGACTTTCGGGCTATCGTGCGCTAGCTACTGGTGGACCCGTATAGCGGCGTGCGGGCTTCGGCTCACGTACCACCTGCTAGGGCCATCGTTCCCGCTAGACATGCTACTCTATGCCGACGACCTCGAGGCTCGAGTCTTTAGGCCGAGGGGCTAGAGGACGCACGGGGATCCCGCTTAGTTACCTTTTCCTCGCTAGTCTTGGGTACCCCTTCAAGTGGGCCAAGACGACAGGGGGGGTTTCCGTGTAGAGTGGCTAGGGATGGAGACGGAGTACTCCACGTGGAGGCTAGGTCTATCCCGGAAGAGGACCGACTGGCTAGTGGAGTGGCTTCGGAAGCTAGTCCGCGAGGGGAAGTGCGAGGCCCGCCCCTTCGCGCAAGGGCTAGGGCGCCTGGGTTTCGCTTCCATGGCGCTGGACTGGGAACGCCCTTTTCTCGGCCCGCTACATGCCTGGTCCTCGGCTATCCAGGGGAAACCGGGGTACCTGACGCTACCCACGATGATCCGTGTCCTTTGTGGGTGGCTAGCTGACTACAGAAGCCGGCCTCGCTACTGGACGGGGCGGCGCCGCTCTCCTTCTACACCGACGCTAAGGCCGAAAATGGACGAGCCTGGATCGGCGGCTTGCTGGAGCTAGTGGACGGCCCCTGGTTCTCGCTAGAGGTGAAGAAGGAGTGGGCTTTCGCTAAGGGGGACCCGAACAAGGTCATAGCCGCACTGGAGAAACTCTGGGTCCCAGATAGGGATGCTAAGAAGACCTCCAAGGTCGCTATCCGTGGGTACACAGACAACCAGTCCAACGAGGCGCTACTGAAGAAAGCTATGACGACCAAGTTCCCATCGACCTTGGTGCTGATGGAGTTAGCAGAGGAACTCTCCGCTAAGAACTGTGAACTTCAGCTACAGTGGATCCGCAGGGATCTGAACCAGCTAGCGGACGACCTCACGAACGAGAACTTCGCTAGTTTCTCCCCGGACTTCAGGTTGAACCTGGAGGGGGAAAAGCTAGAGTGGCGTGTGCTGGGCCGTCTCCTCGAACACTCGGCTAGCTACTTCCAGGAGCTAGGAGTGAAGAAGAGAACCGTCGAGCCCAAGGCTTCAAGGTTCGCTAAGAAGGCCCGTAAGCTAGGTCCCTGGTAGCCCTACGGCTGCGCAAGGAGATTAGCTAGCCGAAGGCTAGAGTTCTTCTCCGGGCTAACGCGGGACTTCGCCACAACGCTAAAAAGAGAGAAGTTCGTGTTGTCCGTGCTACTGAAGCCAGTGAGTTTGAACTAGGCTTGCTACGTACTCCCCGGAGGTGTAGAGGGAGGTGGCGGGAGGATATGCTAGCTAGTGTACGCACTCGTGCCGAGGGACGAGGTACGACCGTGTATGCTAGCGCTAGTATCCTTGTCTGAAACATCGAAGGTGTTTCGCTAGAAAACGTCGAAGGGGTTTTCCTCTGAAGCTAAACAGAACGAAGCCTGTCTGCTTGCTAGAGTGACTGCACTTGGCCGGTGGGGAGTGTGCTACTCCGTGGCCATTGTGCTGAAAGGCCCCCAGCTACCGGGGGGCAATTTTCGAGTGCCCACCCAACCCACCCTGGAGATTAGCTAGCCGAAGGCTAGAGTTCTTCTCCGGGCTAACGCGGGACTTCGCCACAACGCTAAAAAGAGAGAAGTTCGTGTTGTCCGTGCTACTGAAGCCAGTGAGTTTGAACTAGGCTTGCTACGTACGCCCCGGAGGTGTAGAGGGAGGTGGCGGGAGGATATGCTAGCTAGCGTACGTCCAAGGACCTTGCGGCCCTGCCGTCTTCCAAGCGGCTTGATCACTTCCTTTGGTCCCGGTAGGCTTGCCATCGTTGTTCGGGCGACATCTGCTCGACCGATCTCCGCCCCAGATGGTGGTCCACTGCCAGCCGTAGTTGCCGCAGCTCGTCCCCCGTCAGCTGGGGAAGCTCGTTCGTCACCTGCTGGATCAGGAGAGAGCGTGGTCCTCTGACCCCTAGATGTGAAAACACTGCTGCATGCACGGCGTTCACACACACCATGATCATTCGGAGCACCATCCTGCTCCAGGCTAGCACGCTCTCGCTGATTTCGGGCTCGGGCTTCTGAATCCGGGAGCGCTTTTCCGCCGGCATGATCACAAGGAGCTGAAGGCGGAGGATCACGAGGAGGTAAGAAAGCACTAGGGTGGTTTCTGAGCCGGTCTTCGCAAGGTTCGGTGAGCTGATGCACATCATGCGCTCCCTGAAGCTGATCCACTGCTTGACTAAGCTCCGCGTACATTTCCCTAGTAAACCTGTGCAGAGGAACTCTCAGCGCTCCGGAAGGCCCGATATGCAGTGGAACTACATGATTGAATTTCTTGAGCTCCAGCTGTAAACCCTGTTCTGGATCAAGGTGCAACACCGACCGACAATGCAGCAAGAAGGGCAATGATAACAGAAAGGGTGCCTTCCGCGTAGCCTCATCTTCGAACACCGCTGGTCTCAACAAACACCCCTTGGGTCCCAAACTGGTAGGAACACATGCCACACGGTTGGTCCTACTGATGCCGTTGATGGATTTGAAGTGGTGGATCTCGTTCTTCACTATCGTTCTAAGGCCTGGGGGCTGACACTCCAGCATCTTCTGCAATGTGTCGCTACCTACTGCGGATCTCTGGCAGCCCGTGTCAACCGTAGCACATGTGTCATCATCATCCCATGGGACCTGAGACGCTCTATCAAGAAACAGAACATCATGTCCCGGCAGTCGCTCCTTATATGCGGGCAAAGTCGAGGCAGTGCTGGCAGGTTGCGGCTTCTGACCACTACCGGAAGAGGATCCGAACTTCATCATGTCGCCAGCCTCATCATTGATAGCCTTCTTGATCCGGAGAAAATCCTCGAAGCCCAGAAAATGGGCCTCGTGGGCGCCGGTCTCCATCAGATGTGCACTATGCTCCTTGTCTCCCTTCGCTCCTTTGCCGCCAGATCGAGGAGGGCGAGGGCATTCCCGAAATTCCCGATGCCAGTGCCCTATCTGCTGGCAGTTGGAGCAGCGGGTCCGCCGCTTCAAAGCTTCAATCGACACCTTGTAGGATCCTTCGAAGCCGCCCTTGGGAGCGGGGCGGAAACCGCCCTTTCCAAAGGAGTGGCGGGCGCCAGCCCCGTATCCACGGGCCAGGCTCTTGTTCTTCTTGGCCTCATTCACAGCGGTGAAGGTCCGCTTCCGGGCATGTTCCTTGACCATTGTCGACAATATCTCCCTGGCATCTTCTTCATCAAAGACTCCAGAGTCCTCTCCATTGAAATCGCCCTGGTCCGCCTCGTCGAGGTCTTGCATGGCACTCAAAAGAACCTCGAGGTTGTCCTCCTGGCCTGCCTCGTCACCATCAGGAGGGTCGTGGTAGTCCTCCTGGGTCTCCGTGTGGTAGGCCGCCACCGGTTTGTTCTTGATCGTCGCCGCCGCATGACCGGATGACTTGAGGTCCAAGTTGGTCTCATGGACACGCACCCACTCCTTCACATCCTTCTGGCTTAGCTTCCCCTGAGTGAAGTTCATTAACAGCTTGACCTCCTCCTGGTTCAGCTGGAGGGCCATCGTGAGCAGGAATCCCAGATTCTCGGCCGGCAAGGTGATGTTGTGCTCCGACAGCTTGCGAATTGCCAGCTCCCATCTGGAAAAGAACTCCTTGTGGCCCTCGTTCTTCTGACGTCTCACCGAGTAGGTGATCTTGAAGAGGCTATTCAGCATGTCTTCGCGCTCATCATCACCGTAGAGATCCCGAGTATCCATGGCCGCCAGTAGCTGCTCGCCACCGTCCTTGGCCTTCATCCAGCTCTCGCTCTTCGCCAGGTACTTCATGTCGTCGAACGGAACCCCACTCAGATTCCGAAGGAGCATGGGGCCGCGACTCTGTGGCTTCGATTTCGTTGTAGCCAGCCAAAGCCTTGCCCGGATCAAGTAGTCCCTGAACGGTGTCGAGCCGTCCCATGTAGGAGGTGGTCCGGAGCTGCTTCGGCCGTCGCGGTCTTCGTCGTCATCGTCGTCCTCCCTTTCAGCCGGCCTGCGTCGCTGGCCATCGCGACGTCCGAGAAACTGAAGGAACTGTCTGTACTCTGCCGCATCGGTCGGGCTTGGAGGTGCCTCCGCTCTCTGCTCGGCACGGCCGCCCAAGGATCGAAAGGCTCGGCAGGTTCGTCGTCGTCCACGTCCTCTTCGGGGACCGGCTGTTCGGCCGGGGAAGCGGTCGCCATGGTTATGGGCTTTCAGCGCAGCAACGATCGGGCAGTGCCCTCTACTGTCCTATGGATCGAATCAGGCTCCGCTACCACTGTGTTGGATAGCAACACAGTGGCAGCCCCAAATCATGACATTGGCCTTTTGCTTCGTGCGCAGCTTGAGCCACGGATGTGGCGGTCGTACTTCATGATCCTGCACAGCAGTCGGCATACGGTTTGGGAATCCTCGAAACAGAAAACACTTGACTCCACGCTCGGTGTTCGAAAATTTCCGGTGTGCTCTCAGCAATGCTTCTGAGTGAGTGTGAGCATGGGCTAGCATTAGTCACAGTAGCCGGAGTCGGTTCCATAAAAACTTTTCGCAGCCCCGAAACCACAACCCCAGTTGTTCGAAGACCGATCATGAATGGCTCTTGGCTCTTATCCTGCTTTAGAACAATGCTCATGCTTGAGGCAGGGGATTGCATGCAGCGACTCTGAACACGTCATAGATCAATGCTTCCCGCAGCTTCAGCGGAGCTGGCCCCTGGGTTTGCTAGCGATGCTTTGTTCTGCATTCGCACTACTGCCACTGCTAGTGCTGCCTGCCCCTGCCTCTGCCCTTTGCTCCTCTGCTCCTTTTGCGCTGCTGTGCCGCCTGCCCTGCCCCTCTGCCCCGACCTGGCCCTGCGCCTGGCTACGGCGCGGCTGCAGCTGCTGCAGCTGCTGCTGCTGCTGCTGCTGCTGCTGCTGCTGCTAGTAGACTTGTGCCACTCAGTCTACACGGAAACGAAGTGCAGGGGTTTGGCACAGCTGTTCGACACGTTGGTCACATTGTTTTGGCGTGCGCAGGTGTAGGAGTGGAGCAGCCCGGATTCACAAATACTCCTTAGTTGGCCGGTGTTGGGAAGCACGGTTGCGGTTTGTAGTTTTGTCGTTGTCGTTGCACTCAATGTCAAAGCTAAGCTAAGCAGAAGCGCACAAGGATGTGGATTGCTTGGTACGCAACGGCAGCTGGGGGAAATAAATCATGCTATTTGGACTGTGCCTTTTAGCAGATCGCAGGCGCACAGAAAGCGTTGAGACTTAACTCATGCGAGATGTTTTTCGCTCGGGTTTTGGGCACTTTGTGTTCGGAACGCGTTGGCTAAGCGGACAACCAGAGAGTGAGGAAAGCATAGTAGTGTCGCAACCGCCACTAAAACATTGTTTTGTGCACATACGATGATATTTCGCTTAAAGATCCGGAAATCAGAACAGCAGGACGAATCATGAAATGTCAGCTACAGCCTTCATGAAATCTTAAGTAAGCGGCGGTTGGTACATCCAGACGAACTCAGAGAGGTATCTGCTCTGAGTGAGTCCCAGCCAGATGATGTAAATTGTGCCGCGGCCGCTTTTAGCGGAAGAGGTTTGGGTGGCCGATATGCAAGTTGGCGACTGGATGCTCTGAGGACAGGACGAGGTTTGCGTAGACGTTATCATCGTTGGATTTTGCCTTTGCCTGCTTTGCCTCGCCTCGATATACGATTGGTTGAAAACCTGCTTTGCGACCGAGAGTTAAGTTGTATCCGCCGCGTTTACACGTAGGTTGAAAATGAGATTTTGGGTTCTCGTCGCTGAAATGTCAACTCACGCTTCAGCAAGGCTCGTTGCTGAAACAGAGATGCACAGCCTGACAGGAGGAGCCGACTATCAGCAAATGGCGTGCGCCTGGACATGCCGACAACTGGGAGATTTGATCCGAGACGCTGCTGATGACCCCTCTTGTTCCAGGTACATGAAGGAGGTCATTCGAAGTCTCCAGGCCAGGCACGGCATGTCTTGGATCATTTACGTCGGGGAGACGGCAAGTAAGTCTCTCAACCCGTGTAGGAGGAGAACTCACAGCTCCGACGAGGAGAGAAGTCGGCCGGGAACTCTTTTCAGCCCGCAATGCTGGCGTGTTGGCCTTGCCTTCTCCGTAGGTGGCCACATCTCCCACGGTAAGCCAGGCATCGTCTGGAACTCCATGCTTCGCCCCAGATGCTCTGCTGTAAACAAGAGTGCTTGCAGGAAGAATACCGACAGCTCGAACGCCAGTTGTCCTGCCGTCATGGATTGGTCGTCCTTCCGAGAACTTTCATAGGCAAGCTATGGTTTTTAAAGGCGGGCGCTTCAGCAACAACAGCTGCGCCAGGCTGCGGTGAGTTTTTGCAGGAGGGTCGTGTTTGATCCGTTGTCTTTACTCCTGTTTGCAGGTCGGTTCCGCAGGGGTCTCCACGGCTGCCCGGGCCTCGGCACTGCGGGATCTCTCACTAGGTTTTTTTTTTGCGATGTTTGTTTTTGTTCAGGTCTCCGGGGTGTCTACGCCGCTGTCGTCCTCTGGACACTACTTCGGCGAGGCCTGGCGATCCCAAAGTCAAGCCACAACCTTTCGGAAAGCAACTCAGGAGGCCCGGTCCATGCGAGCACACTACGAGGTGCGGTCAGGGCCATGAGCCTTTCATAGGCCCTTGGCTCAAGCCAAGGCACTGCAGCGTGAGCAGGACGAGCTGCGCAACAAGGCGAAGCGCCTGAGCTGCGTCTGGAATCAGGGTCCCGGATGCCTCGCAGGTCCGCCGCCTTGCGCGAGCTTGAGGCGGCGGGAACTGCAACATGCTAGCCAGGAGCGGTTCCTACGCGCACGTGTGCATGCACAACAGGCAACCAGGCAGGCATTGAAGATGCATCTCTCGCTTTCTGTCTCCCTCTCTGTATCTGTGTGTGTATGTGGGTATCTTCGGAGTCTATAGTTCGAGGTATCAAAACATCTGCGTTTCTGTATGCCCATGTGCGTAGGACCTCTATGCTCATTTTTTGTATGAGCACTAAACAGGGATGCTCCGTCGGTGGCCTTTTCAAAGGTTTCAAGGGCTTGAAAATCCGAGTCCTGGAGATTTGGGAACCGTGTAAATTCTCAAAATAATTGATTACAGTGAGATTAACTTAAACAAGCTGTTGAAAAAGTCCAGCGTCTGGTTAGTCGGCAAATTTGGAAATCAGGTCGCTGGGGATTTTGGAAGCCTGTACAATTTCCAGAAGTTTCATTGTGAAATTATGGAAAAGCTGGCTTCTGGGGATTCGGCAACCTGTCAAAATGTTTAGAACTATTGAACTTTTTCGAAATTCATAAGAAATTCGATAGTAAAAATTCATAAAGATGTCTTGAAAGTCTGTCTCAGGGGATTCGGGATCCTTGTAAAATGTTGAAAAATTGAACATTCTTTTTTGACAATCTGGCCTGAGGCGATTTGGGAACCTTCAAAAACTGACAACATTGCTTGACAATTTGAACATGTGTTGAATATTCGAAACTGTTGAAACTCTGGCGGTGGGGATTGGGAACCTTGGATAGACAGATGCATAGATAGGTAGATTCGTGCATAGGTTATGTATATTATCTCTCTATCTCTCTCTCTCTCTCTCTCTCTCTCTCTCTCTCTCTCTCTCTCTCTCTTTGTATGCACATACGTACTCACATGCCTGCATATACACGTACACGTATGCTACATGCATACATACGTACTCACATCAATCAACATACATACATCATTACACATAGGCGCACATATGGTCATCTGGCCACCCGACCACTCTCTCTCTCTCTCTCTCTCTCTCTTTATCTCTGTGCCTATCTGCCTATCTATGTATCTATCTATTCATCTGTCTATCTATATCTGTCTATCCATCGATCCACCGATCTATCTATGCATCTATCCATCCATCTATCTGTCTGCCTCTGCATCTGCACGCCCCTCTGTGTGTGTGTGTGTACGCGTACGTCTAGGCAAATGTGCGATGGGCTGTGTTTGTGCTGTTAGTGTGAATGCGTGCATTTATGTACTTGTGGCATGCATGTATGTAACGTTATGTAAGCAAGTTAGTAGCTAAGTCAGTCAGTCAGTATGTAAGGCAGGTAGAGAGGTCGGTAGGTCTGTGCGTATGTAGGTACCTTCGTATGTCTGTGACTTTCAAAACATGTTACATATCCTGCCAGCCCCATGTCATACGGTCGCCTTGATCCTGCGGGGTTGTTGTTTAACACCTGGACGGAGAGTTTGGGTCGCACAAACTTCATTTCCATCTGTCGACAGGCGTCTTGGGAGCAGATTCTGAGATGTTCTGAAGCCACCCCTGGCAGATCGAGCAGAAGCAAACTCTCGCGCATCTGTTTCACCCGCATGACCGGCTTGTAAACAGCATGTGCAGGTTGCAGCATCGTGCGCCTGTGACCTTGACTTTGGCGGGTTTGAGCCATTTCGGTTAGTCTAAGAGCAAGGGAGCAACAGTTGCATCGACTGTTCCTAGCTTGTCCCACGTCTCTTGGAGCATACGGGTGAACTTCTTCAAAGCAGGAAGGGCTGCTGACAGGTTTGCTTAGCGCTGAGTCGGCATGCCATCAATCAACATACTGCGCCAGCTCACCTGCAGCTTCTACCAGTTTCGTGTGCCTTAGTCCATTAGCATGTTGTCATGTTGGAGTCAGGCCGCCCTGTGCACTCTTGTTCATGACTGAAAGGAGTCATCGCAAAACCAATGAACTTGGAGGCATTGCCAATGCCAATGCGGTCCTGCAGCAAACTTCCAACTACCACAACTCGATTGAGACTCGCTTGTAGCACTCCTCGCCACTTGCGTCTGCAGTCAGGATTGACACAACACAAGGTGGTTTCCTGACAGTTTTTCCTGCCTGCCTCTATTGCCGCTTTCTGCGAGGTGTGGCGATCCATCCACACCCATGTCGAACAATCCGGGAGCATCGCGAACCCGCAACACACAGCAATTGCGTTTCAATCGTTTGCACTGTGACACCTCAGCGACTCACCTTGGCCCATCTCGGTTCAAACTCAGGAAGGTAGCAAGCCGTTGAGAACGCGTGATAGCAACAGCGTCTGAACGCGCAGAGCTGCAACCAAGACAGATTCCTTGGGGCTTCCACGCAATTCGGGTCGAGCTGTTTAAACCCATCGCTGGGTAAAGGTTGGTGTCGTGGGAGGAGACGGACAGTTCCAGTT